ATGACTTATGTTAATTCTTTAAATGTTTGGTAGAATTCTCCAGTGAAGCTATTTGATCCTGGATTTTTCTTTTGTGGTGATATTTTTGAGTAATTCACTTTCTTTGTTGTTGGTCTGCTCACATTTTAAAAAGTATTTGTTGTTTTTTTTTTTAGGTTCTGTTTTTTTGTTTTTGTTTTTATTTTTGAGACAGGGTCTCTGTGTAGCCCTGGCTGGCCTGAAACTCACAGATCTGAATGCCTCTGATGAGATTAACGGCATATACCACCACAGCCTGGCTCATTGTTTTTGAAATAGAGATTGCTTGTATAGTCCAGGCCGACCTTGAACTTGCAATCTTTCTTTGCCTCCTAAGTGATTGTAAGTATTGATGGTAAATATTGTTTATTGAGTATACTTCAGGGAATCACAGAACTGGGCATTGACCATTATAGAGTACTACCTTCAGCTCACAGAGTGGCAATTTTTTTTTTTTCTTGCAGCATTGACTGAGGTTTGGGACTTGCATAATATAGGAGACAAGCTTCCTACCTGTGAGTCCACTGTGTGAGTCTGTGGGCGACCAGCTACGACCTGCTCCCACCTTTCAAAGGATTCTTGGTTGGAAGAGAGAGGAATGAGGAAATATTAGGTAGAAAGATAGACCTAGATGACGAGGAGAAAGACAGAGAGACATAGGATAGCTTAGGGAGGGCCCTGGGTCAATACCCAGCTGCTGCTCAGAGCTTTATTCAAAAGGGCTTTTTATAATATGCCAAGTGGAGAGGCAAGAGACCTTCCGCTTGCAAGATGAAAGCACAACCATACAGCCAAGTGTAGACCCTTCCAAACAACTGGTAAACACGCCCCTGGCAAAATCATCCTATTCTGCAGGCCTGCTGGGTAAAAGCAAGCTCAGATTCTCTGACCCTGAGTAATTTTGGCTCCCACAGTCTACCACAGCTCCATTGCCCATTTTTCCTTTCTTTTACCTAGAGTTCCCATAATAATATGGAGTCAGGTTGATCATGTTTATAAGTCCCTTAGATTCTGTTGACTTTTACTTATTTATTTTTGTACATTTTTCGCTGCTCAGATGTGGTTGTTTCAGATGAACTGACTTTTTTTCTGTTCAAATCTGCAGCTAAACCCTTCTAGTGAAATTTTTTCAATTCACTTAATTTATTTTTCATCCCCAAAATTTGTTACTTAAATTTTTTGTGTGTGTGCATGTACATGTGCATGTTTATGTATTTGTGGGTACATGTGTGCATGCAGATTTGTGTGCCTGTGTGTGTCCCTGTGTGGAGTCAGAGGACAGACTTGCATGTTGTTCCTGTGAAAAGCTATCTACCTCCTTTAAGGCAGGGTCTCGTACTGGCTTGAAGCAGCTACTTTCTTTTCTTAATGTGGATAATAGAAATTGAATCCAGATCCTTGTGCTCACAAGGCAGGTTCTTTACTGACCGAGCTCCCTCTCCAACCCTCTAGGCTTTGTCACTTTTTAAAATCATTATGTCTCTGTTGATATTTTCATTTTCTTCTGACATTGTCTTCCTGACTTTAATTGTTCACCTTAGCTTATTGCGCATGCTTTAAAAAGTAGGTTTTAAAATTTTTTCTCTATGTGTATGTGTGTGTGCATGCAAATGCATGAGTGCACACACATTTGAGCACAGGTGACCATGAGGCCAGAAGAATATGTAGAATCCCCAGGATCTGGAGTTACATTACAGGTGATTGATGTTAGCATCCTTCAACATATGGATACTGGGAATTGAATTTAGGTCCATTGGAAGAATAGCAAGCACTGAACAGCTGAAACAACTCTCCATCCAGTTCTATTTAATCTCTTGCACTTGGTGTTTGTGTGCATATATGTGCCTTCACATGTTCACACTCTTGTGTGTGTAGGTCAGAGGATAATGTAGGAAAATCAGCTTCCTTCTTTATTATATGGGTATGGGTACCAGGATTGAGCAGTGTGTTGGTCAAGCTAACTGAAAGTGCCTTTACCTACTGAGTTATCTTACCACCTTATTTATTTAGAGAAGGGTATCATGTAGCCTAGGCTAGCTTCAAATCACTAGCTGAGGAAGACTTTGAACTAGTGTTTCTCTTGCTACCACATCCTGAGTACTGGGACTATAGGACTGTATCACCACACTTGGGGTGTTGATATGGTGCTGGAGGTTGAACCCAGGGCTTTGTATATACTAGGCAAGCACTCTTCCAACTGAGCAACCTCTACAGTTTCTACTCTAATTTTTAGTGCCCTGTTTGTTATTTAGCCCTGCTGACTTTTGTTAATTTCTTGTAAACTCAAATTTGCACTCATTTTACAGCTTCTCTCCTCTTCCTTGTTAATTGGTAGTAGATTAGCTGTTTTGCTTCTAGACAGAAATCAGTAACGTGAATTTAGATCTTTTGGATTCTCTTTCCTCCTGGCTGATGCAGAGTTTTTGTTTGTTTTTTAACTTTCTTTAATTTATTCTTTGTGTCTTTCACATAATGCATCTTGATCACCTTCATTTCCCATCCCTTTATATTCACCCTCTGCCCTTGCAACCTCCCCCCTAAAATAAAATTTAAAGAAAAAAAATTTTTAAAAAAGGGAAAATCTCATCATGGAAGCTGTAGTGTGACACAGTGAGTCACACAGTAAACCCTTTGTCCATATATTTTTACTTGCAAGTGTTCATTGCAAAGAGTCACTGGTCTGGATCGAGGCCTCTGGCTTCTGCTACACTGTCAGTGCAGGGTCCTCACTGGGACTCCTTGGTTGTCCTGCTGTTGTGTTGTGGAGATCCTGCAGCTTTGGGTCTGGTCCCTTCACATCCTCCACCACATCACAGATGGGGTGGCTGTTAGGGTGGGCCAACTCATAACAACCCTGGTTCTGGGCCTGAGTAGTTGCAGGGTTGTAGTCTGCCAGCTCTCCCCTGTCCTCACCACCAGGGGGAGCTCTCCTGCACTGCCCTGGCTAGGTCACCCCTTACAGAGATGAGCTAGAGAAGGGGCCAGTTCTCCTGCTTTCACGCCCTTAGGGTCTGCTCTTCCACACCTACACCTTCAGGCCCAGCTCTACCGTGTTGTCCAGGTGAGGTGCAGGGGCCACTCTCTGAGTGCTGTAGCTGGTAAGGGAGAGGGTCAGAACCCTTGCCCACCACAGGAGGCAGGGATGGGGGCGCAGCTTTCTCTCGCCCTTACCATCACATGGCAGACAGGGGTGTGGCCAGCTCTCCCACTCTCACACCCTCAGGACCAGCTCATCCATGCCTCTGCCAACAGGGTCAGCTCTCCTGTGCTGCCCAGGTGAGGTGCAGGGCCTGCTGTCCTGAGTGCTGCCGTTGGTGTGGGGCAGGAGCAGCTCTCCTGATCTTACGACCTCAGGCTCTAGGGGTGGGGGAATCTCTTCCTCTTAATGCCACCATATGGCACATGAGGGGTGGAGCTAGATCTCTAATGCTCACTCCCTGGGCAGCTAACCTGCCCCCCCTCCCCGCCCCCAACAGCGCAACTGTGCTTCCCAGACAAGGCACAGGCCTGCTTTCCTGAGTGTTGCAGCTGGTAAGGGGGGGGGGCACAACAGCTGGAGTAGTAGGGGCAAAGGGGGGGCGTCTCCCCTCGCTCCCACCACCACACACTGATGAGGGAGGCAGTAACAGTTTCATCTCTCTCACTCCCTCAGGGCTGGCTCACCCGCAACCCTGTCTACAGGGCCAGTTCTCCCTAGTGCTGCAGGTGTTGAGGGGTGAGGGGAGGGGACATCTTTCCCTCAGGCCACCACATGGCAGACAAGAGGAGTGTGACCTGCCCATGCCTCTGCAAACAGGGTCAGTTCTGTTGTGCTGCCCAGGTGAGATATGGGGCCCTCTCTCCTGAATGTTGCAGCTAGTGAGAGGCAGGACCAGCTCTATATAGCCCTATCCTCTCTGCCTTTGGTGGTATCAGGAGCCTCAGACATCAACACAGACCATAGCTAAATCAGTGCCATGAACACAGACATTGGCCTCAGCAGCAGCCCAGGCCCAGACATCATCATTGATAAGCCAGAGTAACTATTCCAAGTCCAGCTTTGTGAGCAAATGTATTTATCAAACTTACAGGAGGAGCATGAGATCAGAGAGGGTCATATGAAGAGTACTCAAGGCCCTTAAGAAGGAGTACACTCAGATGTACTTTGGGTATTCTCTTATTTTAATTGTTAGATTAGGTCATATATATTTTTCCTACTGCACATGTCCCTTCCCATAATGCGTCTGATTTGATTCATATGCATGCCCAATTATACATAGGCTTCTTCAATAAACGGCATTCGGCATTTAAAAGATAAGATCTTGAAGATAAAGATTTATAAATTATATATCTGTTTAAAACCTTAAAAAATTATACATAGGCATAAGATTATAAATAGCAATTTTCCAAAAAAATTCACTGGAACAACATGGTTTGTCTTAGTGTACATGCACTCCAAACCAGTACAGGCCAGATTAGCCTTTCTCTTCTTTCTGTCCAGATACATTGGGATTATTCTTGAAATGGTCTAATTTGATTGTTGTTGTGTCAGAGAAACTATGCTATTGTTCAGAGTGAAGTGTACATGAAGCCCAGTGTAGGTGGAGAGTGGAGGGGTTCTGAGGTTGTTAGCTACATTGTTTGGAGAGGGATGTGTGTCTATAGTACATGCATGTGAAGGAACAGGCTGTCAAGTGCATTATTACAAGGGTGTGTGTGTACATAATCCAAACTAGATAGGGTCCCAAGCCACTAAACTGTTTCCTATGTTTGCTTGCCTTATAATGCCTTTCCTATAGGAAGGTCAACAGGCCCAGTCTTGAGAGTCTCTTGTGGGTAGTTACAGCTGCTTCTGATGAAGCTGGTAATGCTGTTATGCTTAGAGAATAGCATTTTATAGCAACATTAAAGCATTTTATAGAGTGAAAAGTGTATTCGAGCATGGTTAATTTTGTATTGTACAGTCCCAGCATTATTCAGCTTAAGTATGCTTTGATTTTCAGGTTGTTCCACTGACTTGCCATGTGTGGCAGGAGTCTTCATATCAAGACAATTCTAGAGCAGAGTTTTCCAACCCCAGTACAGTGCCACTGGAAACAACAGTCCAGTGGGATCCTGGGGAGGATCAGGTACGTCTGCAGCAAACTCTTTCTTTTTACCAGCCACAGAGAAATGCTATAATATGAAGAATGTGAAAATGTGAATTACTTTACTATTTCAGTGTTCTAATAGGGCTACATAATTTTATGTACACCAGAAAGCTTGTCCCTGCTTTTTTGATCTCAATAGTCTACATTCTTCAAAAGTATTGCAAAGTGTTTTTGTGTATGTGCATTATCTCATGGGATATTTAACATACAAGTTGAAACATTGTGGTCATTTCCTGACCATAAATAGAATATTTTAAATGGAAAGGTGTCTATTTCCTTTTTTCTTTCTTTCTTTTTTTTTTTAGACAAGGTTTCTCTGTGTAGCCCTGGCTGTCCTGGAACTTGCTCTGTAGACCAGGCTAGCATCAAACTCACAAGGATACTCCTGCCTCTTCCTCCTAAGTGCTGAGATTACCACCATTACCCAGCTGTCTATTTCCATTTTTAAACAGCTAAGTTTATTGATTTATACTTTCTATTTATATATTTATAATTTATATTTATATATATTCAATATAAATAAAATATAGAAAAGTGAACTGTTTTAGTTATACAGTTTGTCAGATGGGCTTTGAAAGATAGTTACGTAAATATCACTATGCTTGAGACATATAGCATTGCTATTATAGACAGAAGTTTCTGAATGCTATTTGATCCTTTTCTTCTCCAGTCCCTTATCTTAAATCAAGTACCCTATAGTTGGTATCTCTGCTTTGCCTTTTTAGAATTATAGTGTGTGGACTTCTAAAATCTGATTTCTTTCCTTCTGAAATTAGCACATGTTGCATGCATCAACTCTTTAAATTTTCATTGTTTTTGAGTAAACATGACTTCATTTCTGTTAAGTAAATACCTAGGAAGAGATCAGCTAAATTATATTATAATGGTATATTTAACTTTACAAGAATATGCTAAATTATTTTGCGAAGTACCTGTCCCATTTTGTCCAGGGAATGCTGTAGCTTTAGGTTTGGAAATATTTGTTCAGTTTTTTGGTTTGTTTGTTTTTGCTTTTTTTAAATAACCACATTATGGATTTGTCATGCAGTACCAAATGTATTGATTTAACAGTGAAAACTTAAAATATAACACAAGTGTCCTGACTACTTGGTACTAGGATATGGGAGTGATTGGAAGTGGTCTAGAAGGAGGTTAATGTAGTAGAAGGACATAGAGGAACAACTTCCTTTTTTCCACTCTGGTGAGAACATTGTTAAATATGCTGAGTAGACAGTAGTCTAAATGTAAATGTGTTGACTCAGCTAATGACTGAGCATCTTTTCCTTTAAAATTGTTTCAGAGAGCAGAATCTTGGCATCATCTTCCTCAAGAAAGGGATTCTTCCCAAGCCTTGAATACATCCCCGAGCAGTATTGATGTGAGAATAGAAGAAACAAAAGCAATAAATTTCCCCTCTCTGGAGAAAGGTGAATTGACTCAGTCAGAACGTCCAGTCATGGAACCAAAGCTAGATCTCTTCTGTTCTTCATTGCTAGGTAACGCCTTTGTAATTTTTTTTAATCTTTTATTTTATTTCATGTGTATAGGTGTTTTACCTGCATGTATGTTTGTGCACCATTTTTGTGTCTGGTGCCCATGGCAGCCATAAGAGGATGTCTGACTCCCAGGATCTGGAATTATGGGTGTTGGGATTCAAACCCAGATCCTCTTGAAGGGCAGCCAGTGCTCTTAACCACCAAGCTTTCTCTCCAGCCTCAATGCCTCTTTGTCTAACCAGAGGTAATAGTTTATATTTCTAAAAACTATGTGTGGGGATGTGCAGGGTGGGGAGGTGGGGAGGTGTGTGTGTGTGGGGGGGCACTTCTAGCCTTGTTCCCAACTAAATCCATTTTAGTTGAGGATCTCTGTAGAGCTATACTAAAAAAAAAAATAGCTGGTTCTGGTTTTTCACACTGGCTGGTTGGCTTAGCTGTATTAAATATGCATTTTAGTATGCTCCATTATTCAAAGAAGGCTAAAAGGAGATCATTCCCATTCTAATGGGTATGTGTAGCAGAAGTTTTTCTGTCTCTTCTGGTCCGCAGCTGCTCAGATCCAAGTAAACACACAGAGGCTTATATTAATTAATACTGCTTGGCCATTAGCTCAAGCTAACTACTGACTAGCTCTTACACTTAAATTCCTAGAATTCTCCTTGTCTCCCTATTCCACCTATACTTCCTGCCAGTCAGCGTTTTATTAAACCAGTGTACAAAAGCATTATTATTCCACAGCAGTTATGTGTCCTTAGTCTTCCATAGCACAGTTGCTCTTGGGAAAATCACGTATTATCTTTGATTTGTGTTCCCTCATCAGTGGAGACTCAATGTTTCCTGACAAATAAGTGTCTATATGTCTTAAATAGTTTGCTTTCTGTTCTTTGATCAAGATCATGATGAAAAAATAACTTAGGGAGGATTTAGCTTACATATCCTAGATCATAGCCCATTGAGAGAAGCCAAGGCTTCTGGATCTGGAACAGAAACCAGGGAGGAACACTTTACTGGCTTGTTCCCCTTGGCTTGCTCAGCTTGCTTTCCTTTTTTCTTTTCTTTTTTCTTTTTTTTTCTTTTTCTTTTTTTTTTTAAATACAACCAGGACCACCTGCCTACAGTTGGCACCACCCACAGTGGGCTCAGCCCTTCCATGTCAATCATTGATCATGAAAATGCCTCACAGACTTGCCTACAGGCAATCTGATGGAGGCAGTTTCTCAATTAAGATTCTATTTTCCCAGATATGTCTAGGTTTGTATATATTTACCTTATTTGATTCTTAGAGTCATTCTAAGCCATTATTATCCTCAACTTTGAGAACAAAACGATTAAAATGAAGAAATTGAGTCATTTCTTTGAGATAGGTTTTACTGGTTTTTTTTTGTTTGTTTGTTGTTTTTTGTTAGTGTAAAATGGCTTTCTTAGCTCTCTGCAAAGATAAACTTCAAGTACCTTTCAAATCAAGGGATTTAACCATAAAGATAGTTTTATAGAATTTTGTAGAGAAGCAGACTAGGACCCAGTTGAGCTTATTCTTTTCAAAACAAGTTAATGTGCAAGCCAGGATGCTAGTGCAGTGTTACTTGATGCGGATTGTTAAAGTCAATTGTAGGCTTCCCTCTGGAGAAAGGTGTTGACCTCTGTGGTAGTTTGAATATAATTGGCCCCCCAAAACCCATAGGGAGTGTCACTATTAGGAGGTGTAGCTTTGTTGGGGTAGGTATGGCCTTGTTGGAAGAAGTGTGTCACCGTGGGGGGTGCTCTTTGAGATCTCATATATGCTCAAGCCATGCCTAGTGTCTTTCACTTCCTGTTGCCTGCAAGATGTAGGACTCTGAGCTACTTCTCCAGCACCATGTTTACCTGCATGCTGCCATGTCCCACCATGATGATAATGGACTGAATCTCTGAACTGTAAACCACCCAATTAAATGTTTTCCTTTCTAAGAGTTGCCATAGTCTCTTCACATGTATGTGAAAGAATTGCATGTGTCTTTTCACAGCAGTAGAAACCCTAAAACAGGAGTTGTTACTAAGGACTAGGGTATTTTTGTGATAAGCCTGACCTTGCTTTTGTTTGAAGGAATATGGGCCTTGGAACTGTGGATTAGAAAAGCAGTTGAGTGGTTTAAGCACTGTTTAATGGGCCGTCCTAGTAGGAATATGAAAGACAGTGGTGCTGAGTGTGATTTGAACTGTGGGTACATGGCTCAAGAGGTTTCAGAGAAGAATGTTAGTATGTGGCCCAGAGACCAGTCTTGTGATATTTTGGTGAATGTGGCTGCTTTTTGCCCTTGTCTGAGTCTGCCTGAGATAAAGTGAAGAGATTTTGATTAATTTCATTGACAGAGGAAATCTCATAACAGCCTAGTATAGACTGTCATGGAGTTATTCAGTGGTAACTCTAATGAAGATTTATAATGAAAAAGAGCAAGCTGAGTAGGACAAAATACAAAACATAAAATTTGAGGAGAAAAGGAGCACCAGGAAGTGGAATGGAGCTGAATCCTGTGTTCAAGGAGATAGATTAAGAAATGGAATAAACTGGGCGGTGGTGGCGCACGCCTTTAATCCCAGCACTCGGGAGGCAGAGGCAGGCGGATCTCTGTGAGTTCGAGGCCAGCCTGGTCTCCAAAGCGA